GGATTTAATATACCGAATGTCAACGTTAGACGATTTCACGCCAAAGGTAGTTCAACAAAGCATTCATGATAGCATATCTTCTAAAACGAGCAACCATAAAGTGGCGTATACAAAGAGACGTCCGTGCGGCCCGCCGACCGATAGCACAATGCGGTAAACGACCACGGTACTTCCTCTTCCGGTCGTGGCGCCACGGTCGCGAGATTTATGCCCGTCGCTTCCTCTGCCATATGCGTGTCTACCCAGCGCTCATTTACACAAAACTCGAGTTTTTCAAGCACCTGTATTATGCGAATTCCGTAATGTAAAGCTTTTTGTTGTTTGGGTGTTGTTAAAGTATCGCGAAGACTTTAAGTTTTTTTCAAAAATTACCTCGTTCTAATTTTCTATCGCCCAATGGATTATGTTTCATGAATAAGAAACAAAATTCATAAATTTTATTCTAATTAGGCACTTAAAGCATGACTTTTAAAAGTACCTCAAATGTTCTTGTATATAATCTGAAATCTTAATAATGTTGTATATGTTCGTAGTAGTAGCAGTAGAGCTCCTTGTGAAAGAGTTCGTCTTAGGACTTACGCCACCTTCCTTATTTCCGCCGCCAAGCAGAAATGTGAGCATTACTGCGTTCCAGTTTTGAAGGGTAAGGCACATGGAACTTGTCAACTTATGTCTCAGGGTGACGGGCGCAGTGGTAGTACCCCTCAGATATTTGCGATTTAAAGCTCTGAGTGACACTGCAACTGTAATGGACAAGCGTGTAGCTTACCATCAACCGTACGACTTGTTCGTACTGTCACTAGATATAATAAAAAAAAACCTGACGTAATTGTAGTTGCAGCGACCAACTAGGGCCTACAGCCTGTTCAAATATTTCCAGCCTGGCAAGGTCATGTAATGAGGGAAGTCATTTTGACAGCGCATTGAATGATGTAAGTAAGAATCGTTTTCACAAACGGATACATTGGACTTGTAAGACATCTCCATGTATAGCGAATCAACAAAACAGCAAAATCAAATATTTAGACACAAAAATAATTCAACACCAGTAAAATCCTTTTAAAACAGAATCTCATTAAAGGCCGACAGGAAGTAACGAAGTTGATCTAACGTACTTACGTTGGTATAAAATATTCGGAAGTTCGCAGCCGGTGCTAAACGCGTTAAAATGAAGGGTTAATTCCGACTCACGTGTAATCTGAGCATTTAAATTCTTTACTTATCCATATGTTGCCTCGAAGGCAGCAGGCTTATAATAATTTTCATTCCAATTTATACTCAATATATGTACATAGACTTCTGAAAATAAGGGTTATCACTTGACACACACACATATGTTAACAAAAACAAATACACATACACAGTACACATTCTTTTATTCCATGCACAAATAGGTCCTATCACTGCTTACTACAAATATACGTACAAAGAGAAAACTCACGTAGGTATGTATGTATACACCGTGCCCAAGAGAAACAATAGGTATATCAATATTCGACATAGAGTCGCTACGAATGTTCTGGAATTGATGGAGTATATTTTCGTCAACAATCAAGTAGAGAACTCATGAGGGGTTCGGAGCTCGGGGCGAGAACAAAACGGGTAGTTCCTACATAATAGAGCATCGGCCGCGAACGCTCGCAACCGCAACGTCTCGGAATATCTTAGCAGTTGTACCGCTATCACGTCACTCTTCTCCAATGCTGCCTTGCTACGACGAATGTAGTGGTATGTTAAGGCGGTTTTCCATTTAAACCGTTCACACAAATGTGCAAAAGCAAGAACCTAATACAAAATTAGTTAGTTTATTTTATTTTATTTTATTTTATTTTATTTGGTACAACAACAGACATTAGATCACAAACAATACTTATTAACAAGAAAAAACACATAACACTTTAAATCTAATATCCAATAATAGTTATACACAACTTTCCTAAATATTTATATTTTTAACAAACAGGTATAATATTCATAGGTATAATATACATACAATATATATTTATTTATATAGTTATATTTATGTATTTATATTTATATTTCAAACAAATACTATTTCAACAAATATTAAAAGCAGTGCCAAATGAACATAAACACTAATTTCTGTTACAACTTGAATACATTGCAGCTTTGAATGACATAATACTATTTGAAAATATGTCATGGCGGGAACATAAGTCATTGTATAATCGACATATTCTATATAACGGCCCATTTTGTGAAACGTTGTTCCTCATAGGTGGCAAGCTAAACAACTGTGGAATACGCACAGACCGAGTTGGCACCCTAAATTTTAGATGTTCAATCAGCTGAGAATCCATGGTAGAGTTTACAATTCTGTGCAGAGTGCATAAGTCGGAGACCCGTCTGCGATCTTCAAGACTCATCATCTTAAACCTACACAATCGTTCAGAGTAATTGGGCAGCTTACGCCGAAGTCCGTATTTTGAACTGAGACATCTTGCAAATCTACGTTGTATAGACTCTATTCTATCAACATGGATATCATACATAGGGTACCAGATAGGCGAGCAGTATTCCAGGATACTTCTAACCAAGGCATTGTACAATATTATTAAAGAGGTGGCATTACGAAATGGCTTAGTATTACGTAGGAGAAAAGATAATAAACGATTTGCATTATTACATATATGGTCGTAATGGGGTCTAAAAGAAAGAACCGAATCAAACATGACGCCCAAGTCGCGCACAACGTTCACACGATCCAACACACCACCGCCAACACCGTAAGCATAATTTAATGGCTTCTTGTTTTTGGTGAAAGTGATAACTTGGCATTTCTTCGCATTAAGGGCCATGTAGTTATGATTACACCAATTTTCAATTGTGTCAAGATTGGACTGCAGAGTCAAACAATCATTCATATCGTAAATACGGTGAAAAATCTTAACGTCGTCTGCGTATGCCAAACATTCACATCGAATCAAACCCAAAAGATCATTAACGAAAGTTAAGAATAATAGAGGGCCGAGATTTGATCCTTGAGGCACACCAGACAGTGCAAGAAACGGAACAGACTCAAATCCACTGAGGGCTACTAGTTGAGAGCGATTCATAAGGTACGATGAGATCCAGCGATGGAGACTTCCGTGAACACCAAGATGATCCAACTTTGACAGTAGTACCATATGATTGACACGGTCAAAAGCTTTAGAGAAATCTAAGTAAATAGCGTCAACCTGGCACTTATCATTAAATGCGTCACAAAGGTAAGTTACGTAAGAAAGTAAATTTGAACATGTCGAGCGACCAGAAATGAATCCGTGCTGATTTGGACTTAGTAAATGCTTGAAGTGGCTATAGAGGTGAGTGTACACTAGACTTTCAAATATTTTAGCAAACCAACTCAATATACAAATGGGCCTGTAATTAGTAACATCGGCTCTGTCGCCAGACTTATGAACCGGTGTAATCTTTGCAATCTTCCACAATGAGGGAAACACACCACTCGACAAGGACATATTATAGATGATTGTTAGCGGTTTGACAAGAACTGAAGCGCAGAGACAAATAAAAACTGGTGGAATACCATCAGGACCGGGACCCTTAGACAAATCGACATGCTTGAGCTGTTTCAGGACAATATCAGAAGATAGAGTAATGTTGAATATTGACAAGTTACAGTGTGGAAATTCAGGGGTATATGTGACATTATTTTGGGCCCCATACACAGACGAGAAGTAATCGGCAAAAAGATTTACAATGTCACTACCATTCTCTGCTCTACGATCATTGTATCGCATCAGCTTGGGGTAGCTGTTAGTTACTCTCTTACCTCTAGTGTAACGCCAGAACGCCTTGATGTTCACAGACAGATCACTCTCAATACGCTCAATGTAGACTCTTAGACATTGCTCCAGTACGGCTTTTACCCTCAACCTTAACATTGAAAATGTATCGTAATCGCGGGGGTTGCCGTACCGCTTGAAGCGATTGTGGTACTTTTGCTTGTTTTTAATTAACACAATCAAATCCCTTGAAAACCAAACCGGATATCTTGTTGATTTAGTCCTGATCCTAGGTGTGTATTTTTCAATAGTCTCATGCACAATATTATAGAACACGTGCAGAAAGTCGTCACAGTTATGAATAGATGCCAAATGATCCCAGTCAACCATCGCTAATTCACTCATACAACCTTCTATGTCAGTTTTATAGAAGCAAAGTCTGTTACATACTGATCTGTTAATGTCTAATAAAGATGCCTGAACAACGAATGTTACCTCAAAGGAAGGATGATGTGCATCCAGACGGCTTAGGGCTGGGGTGCTGATAAGTGAGAAGAGTTCCGGGCTATTTGTGATTGCTAAGTCAAGAAGTCTTTGGTTATGATTTAATATAGTGTTAAGTTGTGTCACGTCTACAAACTGAAATAAGTCGGAAAGGGCTTTCGATTTGTCGCAATTATGCTTTATTATGTGACTCTTATCATTAGACCACACAACCTCCCCCAAATTGAAATCACCAAGAATAATTGTTTTATCGTATGGATAGGAATGTAGTATTCGTTTACAATTAGTTACAAAATCTTGATAAAGTTCTATAGGTAAATAATCCGGTAAATAAACAACGCATATATTAATAGTTAATTCTTTTTTACTATTCGTTATTTGTATCCATAAATCCTCCACCAGATCAGACTGCCAATCTGTCCTATTGATAAAATTAAGATTTTTAGAGATCGCCATCAATATCCCCCCTCCATCCTGTTTATTGAAGCGTTTAAAAAATCTATTACATCTGTCTCTGCGCACCACACAGTATCTGTCATCAAACAGCTCCGAAGAAATAATACTATTATTTAGCCACGTTTCCGCCATACACACTATATCAAAATTACTAAATAGAAATGAATTGTAATTATCATTCGTTTTGGTTTTTAATCCTCGCACATTTTGGTAATAGACAGAGATAGCCATTTCATTAATTACAATTCAATGAACCTGGTACAATGCGTAAAAACTTTAAACAATCCCACCTTAACGAATAAGTGCAAGACTTTCCTGGTTCTTGATGTGGATGTACGAAGAGTTGGGGTCCTTTCTAACGAAAATGCGTCCATTGCGTACCCATACGAACTTGTACCCAGTCTCCTTTGCTTTTTTCCTCGCAGCTGCATGAAGGGTTTTATAGAATGGGGACAAGTGCTCACAGACATAAATAGGCTTTTTCTCACCCGCTACGCCCAAATGATTCGTATTCAGTTTGTCATTAGGGTTGTCTTTGTTGTAGCGGTACACAGCTGAATAGAATTCGTCACGACTCCGGACACTCTTAAATTTAGCCACAATAGTCTTAGGCAGTTTGCTGTCCTTATTAAGTTTTGCAACTCTCACACAGCTAACTACGTCTCCATCATTTAATTTGTGCCCAGTAAATTGCGCACATTGATGCAATACGGTAGACAAATTCTCCGAACGAAATTCAGGGACACCATGCAATTCTAAATTATTCTCTCTTAAGTGCTGTTCCAGGCTATTTAATCTTCCTTCCAGATCGTGAACCGTGGTTTGCAATAGCTGGTTTGCGCCTTTTAGATGAGCATTATCCTTGATCAATGTATCAATGGAGAGTTTTAGGTCATCATGTGCTCCGCTGATGAACTCCACTGACTTACGAAGCTCCTGAACATCAGTTGGTGAAATTATAGGCACATGGGACTTGTCAACTTATGTTTCAGGGTGACGGGCGCAGTGGTAGTGGTAGTGGCTCTGTAACTGTTATGAACAGGCGTGTAGCTTACCATCAGGCGCACGACTTGTTCGTACCGTCACTTGATATTATAAAAAAAAACAGATATTTTCTTGTACACAAATCGCAGTCTTGGTGGATTAAGGTCATTGTAAAAACTTGGAGTAGGTAAGTTTAGTAGCAGTAGAGCTCCATGTGAAAGAGTTCATCTAGGGATGTACCTATTTCGGCCGCCAAGTATGGCAAGGGTGCTGGTGAAATTACATGCACATGGGACTTGTCAACTTATGTCTCAGGGTGACGGGCGCAGTGGCAGTAACCCCTCAGATCTTTGTGATTTAAAGCTCCGAATGGCACAGCAACTGTTATGGAGTGGCCTGTCGCTTACCACCAGGCGCACGACTTGTTCGTCCCGTCGCTTGGTATTATAAAAAAAAAGTTCTACGAACGAAATTGTTAACTTTTTTATGCTTAAATTAATATAGTTGCGTTTTCATGTAGTTCTTATTATTTTTAACCGACTTCAAAAAAAGGAGGAGGTTCTCAATTTGACTGTATGTTTTTTTGTATGTATGTAACTCCGGTATTTGTGAACCGATTTTCATGGTTCTTTTTTTGTTGGAAAGAGGGTACCTCCATAGTGGTCCCATTTAATTTTGAAGAAAACCATCCACCTCTAAGGGTGGCTGTTCACGCATGAAGATTCATTTTTATAAATAACGCCTAAATTTTATTATAAGGAGCAATTATTTTAATGGTTTATTTTGCTATTCTCCAATTCAAGGTGTTTTTCTCTCTCAATATACTTTGAGTAGTGAGAATCGATTTTTATTATCTCCTGTGTCAAGTCCCGTACAGTGGCGAACTAGGGGATGAGTCCGTGGTTGCGCACTTTCCGGTAACCGATTTCAATAAAACTTGGTAATTATAAGTAATTTCACGTACTTTTGAGGTCAGTTTTTTTAGTACTCTGTACTGAGATCATAATGACTTGTCTCATGTGATAAAAATACTTTTAACGTATGTTCACTAGTGGTATGATTATACTAAGGATATATTACATAGACATATAAGTTTGTCCGAAAAGGTACAAATTGAAAAACGATAAAGACTTTCAATCCTCTAATAAAACATGGTTTCTGAAAACAAATAAACAAATAAATTAAAACTTGACAATCTCATAATTATTAATATAATACACTTAGAAAAAACTCCCTCGATTCGACCGGATTCGAACCGACGTCTCCTAGGAAGCCGTGTCAGACGCTATGCCAACTAAGCCACGGAACGAACTACGGAACGGACCTTACGAATTTTTATATGTGTTTGTTACCGGATCTTTGTATTTGGCTATCTAAGACTTTTTAGTTCTAGTTCTTTAAAGTAGTTAGTTCTAAATGTTCGATCTTTAATAATTATAACAAACTAGTAGAGTAATTTCACAAAAAAATAATGAAGTATTAATCCAATAAAAAAAATCAATCTCATAATTTTTATTAAAAATATGACGGGAGTGTTGTATCACGAACAACATTATGTAATCCATGTTACATTCAATCAGCATTTTAAATTCGTCATCTAAAACCAGCACTTACACTTCTAAAGCAAAGTTTCATATAAATTTTGTAGGTACAACAAACCTTAGCTGACGTTAACTTCGTATCTTTGTCTGACGCTCACGTGAGGGTGATAGAGGGTAGGCAAGGGGAGGGGGTGAGTTCCAACTAGCTCTGTGAATCAATCAGGAATTAATTGCGGCTCTCAGAGTCGAGTGGAGTTGATTCATCCTACACTCATTAGTTGAAAACCATATTACTTTTCGTCCACGTATTGGGATCTTTTTCTCCTTTTAAAATGCCACGGTATAGTCATCAAAACAATACTACTTTATTTAAATACCAAAAACTTGAAATATTTTCTTTAAGGTGTGATAAAGATTTGACTTTCTATTTTCTTACTGACACTGAAGACAAAACTTGCTATTATTATAGTAAAATATTTCATGATAAAAAGTAGGCGTTAACTTGTCTTTTCTTTTTTAAAGTGTTATAGCTCCATCGATACAATCGATGATTCTGCCAACAAGACACGAGTCTATTCACCAGTCAAATACTGGTGTATTTGGACGGCAAACTTTACTGTGAAGAAAAAACTATAATCTGTATTTAATAATAAATATTTTTTACAATTTTAATGATTTATGTCACTAAATTACAATATTTGTAGAAGTCAAGACGACTAATATTGTAAATTGACTTCCTAGGTCAGCAGTTTTGTCCTACGATGCAGTAAAACCATTTCCAGAAATCCGGAATTCAAAAAAAGTAATTATTAATATATTGATTATTGGTGTTAATTATATAATATATTTATTATATTTGGTGGTTTTAACAACTCTATGTCGCTCCTTGTAGCCATATTGATACATCTCGAACACCTTTTTCCGACCATTGCATATTACTAATAATATTTCAAAAATGCAAGTATATCTCAAGACCAACTAGATTGTACCACGCGCGTTGAGGGCGTAGCATTACTCTGATTCGGTTTTTGAGTGAAGCCGACATTTGCGCAACTCAACTTTGAGTCGAGACGAAACTTCACAACAATACGATTGTTTACATTCGAAAGGCAAGTCAAAGGAAAAGTTTCAAGTGGTACGTAATAGAAACGTTTTGTGCCAATGAACGTTTGCGGTTTTGTTGCCAAAATAATAGAGTTATTTCGTTAGGAATTTGATATTGCGAAATTGGTGAAATGATTTTTGCGGTCATGTTAATTACAGGCTCTGGCTTTGCGGGTTTGTATTATAATTATAGCCGACGCATTCGAATTTCGAAACACACGCGTGTAAATAAAGAATATTGGTCATACAACTCAAAAATTTTATCTGACGTCTGTCCAAAACACATGCACGTTGTCAATATCCAATTGGGCCAATTTTGAAATTGACATGAAATTAATAAACAATTCGTTATTCTATATGCTAAGTTATATTTGCTGTTGATAAAAATTCATAACGAAAGTTCTTTCATTCGAGCTGAACCCATAGCGTTGGATGACTGCGTTGAGATTGATTGCAGAATTAAGTTGGTAAATGCTATGTAAGGTAGACAAACAAATCGAATTTGCGAGTTTCGGTTGCCTAAGTTACGACATTCCACGCCGAGGGCTCTTCAGTTCAGACTAGTCTAAGTTGGCACAAAGCGTGCCATTCTGCTTGGTTACTGTCTGTGGAGATTTCTATACTCAAAGGTTTGAGATTTCTAAATAGGGATATTGGAATTTGTATTTGACTTAATTAAAGTGGAATTAATTTATTGCTTAATGACCGCTAAACAAGTCTGAAAGCAAAATCAGAGTCTTTTTCTATGAAATAACTCCGGTAAAGTTTTTTGCAACAAGTGGCATCATCAGCTAAACAAAAGAACACGAACCCGCCATCTGTCAGTTTGAATCTATTCATCCATCGGCTGGACAGCCATACATCACAAGATGGCGTGAGACATAGTCATAACAACACCTTTTTCTACATCGGTATATAGTGGTGATGGAATTCTGTAAACAAATACGCAAGTGATTAATATTTGTACATTTCTTTTTGTATAATGGTAATTTCAAATGGTTTTATCAACGTACGTATGTATTATATTTGTAGCGAATCATATAACATACGTAAAATTCGGGACAAATTCGTCAAGAAATAGACGCAATGGAACAGAATCACAGACAGATCAAAAAATTTTGGTATTTTCTTTTTTCATTACATAGGGGTTTTGCGTAATAGTAAATTTTTAACCGACTTTCAAACAAGGATGAGGTTCTCAATTCGACTGTATGTTTTTTTTTTCTATGTATGTTACGCGATAACTCCGGTATTTGTGAACCGATTTTGATGATTATTTTTTTGTTGGAAAGAGGATACCTCCATAATGGTCCCATTTATATCCAAGGGTGGTTGTTCACGCATGAAGATTCATTTTAGTAAATAGCGCCTAAATTTTATTATAAGGAGCAATTGTTTTAATGGTTGATTTTGCTATTCTCCAATTCAAGGCGTTTTACTCTCTCAATATACTTCAAGTAGTGAGAACCGATTTTTATTATCTCCTGTGTTAAGTCCCGTTTAGTGGCGAACTAGGGGATGAATCCGAGTTTGCCCACTTTCCGGTAACCGATTTCAATAAAACTTGGTAATTATATGTAATTCCACGTTCTTTTGAGGTCGGTTTTTTTAGTACTCTGTACTGAGATTATATTATGCCAAAATGAAATTCAGTACTACAAACTATATTAGTTTCAGGGTGAAAGATCCTGTTTTTTTGTATTGTAATTTGTATTCATTGAACTAAGGCTCAAAAAATACAAAAACCGCTTTATAGTGTGCATGCCTGCGCGCGAGTGCGTGTACGTGTACGCGTACTTGTGCGCGTACGTACGCGTGTATGCTTATTGCGACTATTTGGTACATTTTAAACTATTATATATGTATATTTTTATGATATCAAGTTACGTTAAGCACCCGTTACCATTCTAAGCCCGGAACTCCGCTACGTTCACATTACTACTTAGCAGTAGAAATAGGTACAGTGGCAATATTTCCTTGGACGAACTCTTTCACAAGGAGCTCTACTGCTGCTGAAATTATATAAATACATACCATGCAATATCATTTAAGGACCCTAAAACGGTGTTTCAATATTCATACATGCAAGGTGTATCAAAAGGTTCAGCTTACCTGAATGATTAAAATACACATGATAACAAATAAATTTGGCTCCTTCAACAACTTTTCGTTACACCTGTACTTTTTGTATGAGGAACCATTTTTGTTTTTGTTAATGTTCTTTATTTATTTAAAACAAATTAGTTACTAACATTTCGTAAAATTGACATTGACATACTATGTCATAAGCTATAAACCACTTCTATCAGTGTTATTGTACACAGAATATTTAATTTAATAATAATAATTTAATAACGCACACACTCAACATAGCCCCGCACTAGGGAAACCCTGTGTCGCGGGCGCCATGCACACACACAGAAACAACCGCAAATTACACCCAAACTCACGAGAGAAATAATTGTAGGCCATACAACTATTTCTCCCGGTCCGGGAATCGAACCTGGGACCTCTGCGTGGCAGTCAGTGGCATGGTAACCGTTCGGCTACGGAGGCAGTTAAGAATAGCCTGAATTCCATAATAAGCTAACCTTAGGAAACTCTGTTATCTTTGTGCTAAGGAGATTTCGAATGAAACAACAACCCTTCGCAAATGGCTAACCCTTCGCCGAGGGCTAAGTGAGAACCCACTTAGACAATTATATTCGACGCCCATCAAGACACCGTGATGTACAGCTGAATGATTGCAGAAACAACTACCTGCTAATCGATTACTTGTCTACATACTCGAATATCAGTATAATACGTCTCTACTACGAGTATAGATAAATAATTGGAGAAAATACGTAGGTATTAAGCACGCTGAAAAATGATTGTTTGGAGCATTTCATAGATTAAAGTCCTCTGTATGAGTTTAAAAAAATCCTGTGTATTAGTTGGAATGGTATATACAGTTGAAGACAGATTTATTTCTCTTTCTGTACTAATTCATTTTAAGCAGGATAATATTATTTTCACCTCACTAGCTCGGAAACACTTCCTTTCTCATTAGACATATGCGCGCAAAAGCTTTTAAACGATAGTGCGTGGAAAAGGTTTTTGAGATTGACGATGAACTGTGGTGCACCTAACTTTATCTTTCGATGAAAAAAAAAACATAATGACACATTCAACTACGCGATTTGTAGTACGTTCTACTTATTTATGAAATATAAATCCGTTGACGTTAAATTGACAACGATAACTAATTTTGTTTATTAAAACATTTTAATTCGTAAATGAACCAAAATAATTTAAATAATCACTCAAAATTATAAGTACAAGCAAGAATAAAAAAATGATGACGTGCAAATTCAGAACGCACCCGAAGATAACATTTTTCTTCCGATTACTAAAAACTGATGTTTTATACTCAATCGTTTTTCTTTCATCTACCATTTTCCTCGCTATAGTGAGGTGGAAAGTTGTGTCTTTCGCTCGGCACCAAAGTTGTTTTACGTCTCGTGTCTTGAAACCCTCGCTACGCTCAGGTTTGTATTTTTGAGCCACTCGCTTCTCTCGTGGTTCAATCTTAGCATCCTTCGCTTGCTCAGGTTTCAGTAATACAAACACTTGCGTCAAACAACAATTTTTGCAGCTTTGCATAACAAATAACTATTGATCTTCAAAGAAATAATTGATCTATAGTACAAGTGCACTTTTTAAAATATACGATTTTTTTTATGTTTCATATATATATCAAACATAAATATAAGATATAAGATATATATATATATATATATAGAATTATGTATACAAATACAAATTATTCCGTCTATATTAGTTAATCTACGGATAAATTATAAATGAACTCCATTCAAGGTAACACTATTATTATTAAACATAACATACATATTAACTGCCTCCGTGGCCGAACGGTTGCCATGTCGGACTGCCACGCGGAGGTCCCAGGTTCAATTCCCGGGCCAGGAGAAATATTTGTATGGCCTACGTTCTCTCGTGAGCTTGGCTGTAATTTGTGGATGTCTATGTGCGTGTCCATGGCACCCGCGACACAGGGTTTCCCTCGTGCGCGGCTATGTTGAGTGTGTGCGTTATTAATACACTAAATTAATATTTGGTATCCAAAAATAATACTCTTTTGCATTATTGGTCTTTTCTTTAACGATGAATGACTTGTATAACCAGTATACCTTTTGATATTGATCTCCTCATAAATCTTGGTTCGCCCTCCATTCAACAGGTTAGGTTATATATATATTAGGTTAGGTTAGGTATATGAAAAAGCAGCACGAGTCGATCGAGAGAAACAAACGTTTCGCGGCAGCGGCCGGCGAGTGCAATTTGCTTGCGATTCCGAACATGTTTTCAGATGAAATTATATTATAATTATATATATATAATTATATAATATAATTATATTATAATATTAGTATACAAATATAATCAACATTTACTTAGCTTTTAAAACTATATAAATATTATATAAAAACTATATAAATACATAAGTATTTCATTTTTATTTTTAATGCTCATTTATCTTACTTTTAAGGCCCAACATAAAATTATCAAAGTTAATTTATGCTATCAAACATTTTTTGCGTAGCTCGGAATAGATTAAAATGTTGATTGATTTAATTTATTTTATGTCTCAGAGAAAGACGATCAATCATTAAAAAGATGACCGTTGGATGGAAGCTGACTGAGATTAGCACGAGGTCGTGGGGACTGGCACAGAAACTTGGAGTCCTATACCCAGTGGGTGAAGTCAAGCTGTATATGATGATGATAATGAAATAAAGTTCTATACATAATAAAATATTTTTTTAAATTTGTTAACTCGTTAATCTCACATGTTAGCTTTAATATCACAGTTATTTTGAAGAAGCGATTCTAATTTACTGACAGCGAGTATACTTAGGTACTAATATTGTAACATACGTTTTCATATATTTTTCAAAGATTACTTGTTAGTTTTGCACTATATATTAACTACATTTACAAAAATAAATTTGACGTAAATTTAGTACAGTACAAAGAAGAGAGCATGTGTGAATATTTAATAACGCTCTAATTACTGTAAATATGTACAAGCTCACGAGCAACGAACGAAAGAGGGTCTGACGGAGTCCTAACGTCTTACTAATCACATTCATTATTAAAGATGCGAAGATGTGAAAACTCTCTAAACATTGTGCATAAATTATACATACTTACTCTACTTTGAAGCAGTCTTAAGATAATATGTGAGGATTTTCGGTAAAATGTCGTTATGATATATAATATGTGAGCTAGAAGGAAGACCTACTTGTATAACATAGATTATCTTTATAGGAATGTTTTAATTTCGAGATAACGTTGAATTTGTTGGTATTCAAACTGGCCAACAGTCGTCCTCATGTCGAAAAGTAATATATATGCCGAGTAGAGACATCGTAGCCGTGGTAGGAAAATGGTTTGGCCTGCTGCCTTCAAGCAGAGGAAGTTCGAATCCGTGTTTGCACCTCTGAGTTTTTTTGGAATTTACGTGCAAAATTTAATTTTTATTAATTTTTGTAATTTAATTTACAAAAATTGTAATTTAATTCAATTTATATAAATTTAGTTTAGATGAAGGAAAACATCGTGAAAAAACCTGCACGTCGAAGAAGATTCACAGAAAACGTGTGAAATCCGTAACACACACTGGGCCAGCGTAGCGGACTATGGCCTAAACCCTCGCCTGAGAGGAGACCCGTGCCCAGCAGTGGGACTTATAAATGGGTTGATGATGATGATGATGATCAAATATAAGGATTGCTTAGCAAATTGAGGTAAGCATGGTTCGAGTCACATTGAAAATAAAATATTGTTTAGCTATGAATATATATAACATTGTCTTTTTTTGTTTTTAACATCTAGATAGGTGTAAAGAATGTCTTAAGTCTTGTTCATACAGAACAATAATTTCTAATTTTAATAATTCCATTAAGTGCGGCATATTAAAACAAGAAAGAAAACTTTGAAAGTCACTAAAACCTTGAAAGTATAAACTGAACAGGCAAATAGGAACGAAACATGGAACAATGCGTAATCACAGAAGACACAATCGTGTGCAAACTGCAGAGCGATTTCGTGATTTGTTAATCTATCCATACCCACCCTACACTTTATTAATAATATCTACCCACCCACTTTAGGCAATTCCTAGTGAACAAATATTGTGATTTCTCAACGTTAACATTAAAAAGTGAAACAATGCTGTTAAAAATATAACGTTAAAACAAAACAGTGCTCCTGGAATCGAATCACGGGTATTGCAACTGGCAGTCGATACAACAAGCCGCTCGACCAATTTACTTGGAAATTAAATGACGAAATTTAGTATTGGTTTTAAAGATATGTTCATCATCTTCAAGCAACACTCCACTGTATTGCTTACGCAATAAAGTTGAAATTGCTTTAATTTTTTCTTTGCTTAATACGTAAGAAGGCTCTCAGAACCAAATGGTCGGTTTGAGCATGTTAGGCGGTCAGGTATCTCATGTATTTGACTGTACACTTTAAGTGACTATACGCTACAGTGTTTGTTCAAGCTAAATATCTACTTAAGTAAGTATGTAACTTGTGTAATTTATTATTTTGCAAAATTAGCCTAATATAATCATATTCAACCATATTACCGACCCTATTATTACAGATCTTACGATCAATGCTGTGAATCGATAAATTAATTCATTTGCGACTCCGTTATGATTAATATTCAAGGCAGTTAGCAATCAGGTTGCTGTAACGTAATATACACACAGTTACCTTTAGAGAGCCGATCTGCAATAATTTTGCCTCAAATCTGACATAAACATGACCGATATTCTCTAAGCAATTTGCACAACTGTGGACCTCTTTGAATAAATTAGAGATACTACCTGGCCAAGGAAGCCTCTATGAATATGTAAGACAATGGTCCCAAACCTTAGAACCAATTAGAGGGGTCATTAAACCCTTGCTTGATTACATCTGCTGAGACGAATGGCTAATGGGTGTGCATTAAAATAATTGGTGATGCCGATGGATGCAAATTGATCCTTGCATAAATACCACCCTAACTTACAATTGCTTAAAATGGACCGGGTACGACAAAATGGTCTACCTATACATATATACTATTGATTTTATTAAATACCATGATTTTAATTTATTTTTTCATATTCATATTCATATTCATATTCATATTCTTATATATATATAACAGGTGTTCTTATGCTATTGGTACTTGACATGTAACACCCTGTGGAGTGACTGCAACATTTTGAGGGCCTGTGTCCATTATTAAAATAGAATTAGGAATAATTCATAATAAAAACTAAACAAAAGTTTAGGCAATATAATCCACTAATTTGTTATCGTTATTAATACAAAGATGGAACGCAAAGAAAAATTCCTGCGATCTGACAGATCTCGAACCTGCGTCTGTAACGCCAGTGCAGGGCAACCGTTATACCAACTAAGTTACAGATCGTCAGTAAACCTTAGTAATTTCTATATACGTTTGTTACAAATCTTTGTGTTTGATATTGAGAAATCTCTAAAAAAAAATCTCACTCACTCAACCTTGCAGCTACTACTGGCTACAAACAATATGTTAAAAGGAAACGTTGGCGGCCTCCTGGGCACAATAGATTAAGATACAGCCCTCTATTTCCAATTTTCTACCTTTTGACTAGAAGAGTTAAAGAAAGAAATTTCCATTTTTTTTTTGTTTGTTCTATATTAACATTTAGTAAACTATTTCATTTTGATTAATAATTAATTCATTTCTTTAGTCATGACATATTAATACACTTTATTATTAATATATAATAAATTATAATTATATTATTATGATTTAACATAGCAAACGGCACTGTCGATTGCCCTGAACTCCTTGAGCAAATAGGACTGTGCACAAGCAAGGTTGCACTGAGAAATCCTATCACACTTTACGTTCCTAGGGTTAAGACAAATTATAGACATAATGCACTTTTAAATAGAGCGTCTCGCTCATTTAACTCCTTAGTTAATGGATATGGTGAGGTGGACTTGTTCAACACCAGTACAAGTAAACTAAAATATGTTTTTTCTTCAAATATGTAGCTACTATAACTGTTTAACGTTTTTAATTTCCTTATTTTTATTTATTATGTTCTTTAAGTCGACAACTTACTTTGTAGTTTGTTTCTATCACTTTAAATAATTATCTGTGGAAACTTTTAATTAGCCCTCAGCATACATGCACTGGCAAGTCAGGCGTGTATTATACTTTATTCTATTCTTGTTACCTAGCTGTAAGTTTTCCAAAAATAATGAAAATAAAATAAAATAATTTTACAGTAATATAAAAGTGTAAGCTTTGATGAGAAGAAATACAAAGTAGATAAGCACTAATATAATATATTTAGAATACCCGTAGCCAACTAATTTTACTTTCATAGATGACCTCGATGGCCCAACGATTTGAGCTACAGGCGCTGCATAAAAGGTCCCACGGTAGATTCCCGGTAGAACCGATTTGAGAAATGAGCTTTTCTAAATAACTCTAGCTGAGTGTTTTGGGTAGTACCTCAGTGTGAATTTCGTTGCTCTGTGTCTCATAATACGGGGAAATTCCCAGTTTAAATCTTTATAATTGGCGTCTTCACATTATTAAGATTATTACTACTTTTTTTAAAAATTATTTTGGCTAGTTTTAACTACTAGTAAAGGCAGCATATCGTTCAACACGTTTCGTCTTTTATTAGATCTGAGGGAGGGTATTCGTAGTAGGGAACTAATTACTCACCAGTTTCTCGTTGCAAATTTGATATTACGGGTAACGGTTGTAAGTTTTCCTGCGTTTCGCAATGTCCAGCCTCCACCCGTGCATCGTTCGAAAATGTTCATATTTCGACGCGCATAAACTAAGATTTTGTAATCGCTGAAACATTATATTTTCACTTAATAATTATAATAACATAACATGCAGTTGGTAGGTCAATGCATGCAGAAGATAATAAGTGAAAAAATTGTAAATACACAGAATTCAAAATGAAGTAACCAGAATTTGGCGACAAGAAAAAAAAATATCAGCAAATTGAAAAAATATAAATATATAAATCATTTCCACAAAAGGCGTTATTTTAAATGAGCTTCTCCATAGCCTCAAATTATTAGATCTTAAAGAAATCCCCTACATCACCTTACAAAAAGCTATAATTTAAAATACAAACGGCTGACACTCTGAATGGCACTGCTACAGTTATAGACAGGCGTGTCACTTACCACCAGGAGCACGACTTGTTCGTCCCGTCACTTAGTAAAAAAATATATATGCCGAATTGTCAGAAAGTTCATGCAGATAAATAAAGACGATATAGGCTCTTATTATAACCAACCCTCAAAATAGATCCACACCATACAGCATTCACTTGATTTCAGTACGTACCTAAATGTAATTAAAACTAGTAGAAAGGCAAAAGAAAAGAAAAAACATAGTAATAAATAATTAGTTTGTCTCAATAGATGAATAAATAAATGTGTACTACATTTTATGTAGTAAGAGACACTAGTGGAGGGAAATAAAAGAGCTGTGTACCTTAACAAAATGGTGGAGTGTGTCTCAGCACCACGTTGATATTTATTATACTACAATGTACTGTGTTCAAATACTAAGTATGTAGCATAAAATAAAGAATTGTTGTATCACATCACACGCAAAACAATACAACTACACTTCACATCTAACACATTTTTATTTTAACCGACTTCAAAAAAGGAGGACGTTCTTAATTCACTGTATGTTTTTGTTTGTATGTATGTTACGCGATAACTCCGGTTTGTGAACCGATTTGCATGATTCTTTTTTGCAAGAAAGAGGGTACCCCAGTAATGGTCCCATTTAAATTTTATATTGATATTAAAAATATTCCACCTCTAAAGGTGACAACTGGGGGATGAATAACTTATGAGGTCGATTTTTAGGACTCTGCACTGAGATTATTATAATTAATTTTCAACATTAATTACTAATACAAAGATCGAATACAAAGAAAAACTATTTCGATTTGACAGGACTTGAATCTGCGTCTCTATGCCAAATTAGGGCCACCGCTCTACCAACTGAGTTACAGATCACGTCAGCAGACCTTACAAATTTCTCTATATTTGTTACAGATCTTTTATATTGGGGTTTTCCGGCTTTTGACTGAGTGAAGAAAAACTTTTGTTGAAAATAGTGTACCTCAGTAGTGGTCCCATTTAAATTTGAAGCAAATACCTTCATCCCCTAGTTTGCCACCTCTAAGGATGGCAAACTGGAGGATGAAGGTATTTGCCTTCAGTTTGCCACCTTTAAGAGTGACAAACTGGAGAATCAATGACTTTTGAGGTCGGTTTTTTAGTACTTTGTACTGAAATTATTAATGTTAAACTAATGATTATAATATACAGAAAATCAATATTGATTACTACAACAATTTAAGTTCCCAGAAATTTTACGTTTACGTTTACGAAGTTCAACGTTTACGTTTATTATTTCAATATTACCATTAACTATATAGCATTAGCAGTCAGACATCTATCATTTAACCGACGCGACGCTTAGAATAATCTCGTTATATCATTTAATCGATACACCGCTTACATGAACCTCAATAACAGTGCAAAATACTTTACTTACTTTTATTTTGATGATTTTACTTTAACGAACTTCGTGGTTCTGCTTGCACACTGGTTTTCATGGTATCGCCATTTCTGAGATCCCGGGTTCAATCCTGGTCGGGTCAATGAAGAACTTTTCACTATTGTACATCATTCATACATTTTTATCTTAAAATGAATTATAATTTGACCATTAACTATATTTAGATCTAATCATATAATGCTTTTTTTAATTATATTTATTTATTTATTCAATAGTACGCGTGGGCTTACAGAGCTTATTCAAAACACCCACAAGTTTGGATTAACATTAAGAATAGCAATGATATATAATTAAGTCAGAATTAAAACAAATTGAAATTACTAATACAAATTTTACGATAATTAGTTCAATTATTAATGTTATTATTAAAATTTTTCTATATATTCTAATTCTATCATTTTAAAATATTAACAAATAGTAACATACAATAGATAACCATAAAGTAAAGTACTTGTCTATAACAAAGTTTCAGATATGTTTTGCTTTGAAAAATTCTGATATATTATAATATAGCTATTTGTAATTAAAAATCTCTTTAAATGTTTTTCATAACCCGTCGTCTTTTTCAAATTTTTTGTATAATTAAGGATTATTTGGTGAGTGTAATAATGGTAGCCCTTATTGCAATATCGGTGTCAGATATCAAGCTACTTCGGTCAGTTGCTTACCACTTGGCCGGTCAAGGTAATCTCATTATGTCGTTTAATCGACTCGCCGCTCACATGAAAGTCGATATGGCTGAAGGCGCCCGTTAATCGACTGTAAGTTAATTAAGTGTAGGTATATTTTCGCATGGCTGGTATGAAGATTTAAGAACTGGTATTGAAACGGTGTGTACGGTTATTTGTACATAGAAATTACTAAGAAAGATTTTTTTTTATAATACTAAGTGACGGGACGAATAAGTCGTGCGCCTGGTAATAAGCGACACGCCTATCCATAACAGTTGCAGTGCCACTTAGAACTATTAATCGCAAAGATTAAAAAGGGGTACTGCCAATTCCGGTCATCGGAACGCAGTAATTAATGATCACGTTACTGCTTGGCTTCAGAAATAGCTAAGGTGGCAGTACTTCCCTGGACGAACTCTTTCAAAAGGAGCTCTACTGCTACTAAAAATGTTTTAAAGGACAAAACGAAAAAATAATGATACCGTATGTTAGCTTTACTTCTAGCACCGGTGAGCTAGGAAATTAAAAAGTCAAAATTTTTAATTGAAATTGGTTTTGCAATGTTATTTTGACTAATATGTCAAACTAAAGCAATGGTAGCCTAATAGTTTTTGACCTACTACCTCTGAAGCACATGATCGTGGGTTCAAATCCGGGCAAAACTTCTGAGTTTTCGGAATTTATGTGCGAAATTTTTTGTTATTGTGTAGTTATTTGAAATTTAGCATGACATCTGCAAAGTAATTTAATGTTGTGTGTGAAGTTCCCAATGCATATTAGATCCGCATGGAAGCTACAACCCAGGCCTGTGCCTTAAGAGGAAGACTACGCCCAGCAGTGGGACTACACATAAGCAACTATTATTATTATTGTTGTTTAGGTGAAGCTAAAATATTTACACTTGTCCTTAGTACAGCCGCAAACAAAATACACAGTAATAAATAGACTAGACGTCATGTGTTTTCTAACGGGCTAATTATTCCACCGTGTGAGCACAGTATGAGTTGGTTGTACCATAAATATCAAAAACAAACACGGTATTAGCACCGGTCACGCTGCACTTTGTTTGTCTACGGCCTAAAACAACAAGCGTTTGCGGCAGCCGACTAAATTTGTTACCGGCGGTCATTCGCTGACTCAGTGACCGCGTATGGTGGATGAACAGTCAACAACGAAAAGCCTATTTGGGACAAATTTTAATAATACACTTTCAAGTATACAAAGACGTATTCGCAATTAATGAACCTGAACATATAGTCATATAGTTAAAATTTAAGGATCATTAGTTTGACCTTTACGTCTGTCTATTGATTATGGTCTATATATGGCCGCCATCAATATTTAAGTGTTTATTCTATAAGATAGCCGTTGGTAACTTCCATTAAATAAAAATAAAATAAAATAAATATGGAGTACAAATAGTATGATTTTTCTAACTTAGTAACATTTTGACTTCTTAATTTATCGAAATAAATGTCAAGTCTGTTTGTTTGAGTTGAACTGTTTAGTTAGACGACGTTCATGTGAGCCAAATTAAAATTTCAAATAGATTCTGTAATGAGTGTCTATTTATTTAAGATTTAATTGTGTCTTAGAAGCAGCCAAAAAAGTTCTTAAAATGGTTAAAATTTTCATTACTTCGATTTATTATTAATAATACTTCAGTTTTCTTCGTGTCTGTACTAATACGTGACTCTACCTAAACAGAACAGACAGGTAAAATATTTTTTATTAAAATAATATTTTATTTGGCTATTAAGAGTAACGAAATAATTTTAAACGTATAAAGATATTATTTTAGGAGATGTTAATCTATGCCCTTTATTTGTAATGTGAATTAATTTTAATATTATTAAAAGCCGGTCTGTATATTGACTAAAGTGTTATAATAAAGATTACAA